AGCAGCTTCAGTGATTGCTGTCAGTTGGTCATTGTCAACTTCCAGTGGCTAGTCACTACACTCCTCCTATTCAAAGTTCTCATCTCCTTTGCCAAACTTCTTGAACCACCACTGCACTATATATTTGTTTAACGGTTCCTGGGCCAAGTGTGTTGTTGATGTGATGAGTTGTCTCCTCTGCTTTATTTCTCATTTTCAACTCAAATAAGAAAATTGCTCACATTCGCTTTTTGTCTAACATCATTTCCATAGTCTAGAATAAATATGAAATAAAAAGCAAGTAATAAGTCATTAGCAGAAAAACATAAAGTGGGAAATGCACATTAAAATGATGTGTAATACCACATTTATTTAAGAATGTATTCCAGTATCAAATGGTAAACTTCAACAATACAAAAGCCACAATTACTTTTGCACCAGTTTAAGGAGGTGGTCAGCTGTGGAGGGTCTACTGTCCTTGATAGTGCAAAACTTGTTTATTGAAGAATTCCAGTTAATGAGTAAAGAACAACAAAAGTGAGTACTGCTTTGTGACCATAATATAATAATGAATCCAGGCAGGTTATCATATGTGCTAAAATTATTATTAAGTGAAAGGCGATGGGAAACTTTATAATGTGGGATCAAATTAATATTTGGAATTCATGAGTCAGTCTTGGCATCTTTATAAGTAGGATAAGCAGACACCACGTGTGTCTTGATTTGATGAAATAGGCTATAGCATTACCCCCAAAGATCCTAATTAGTCGAGAAAAGTAACAACAGATTTTGTAAGGTATATAAATCTATTATAAGGACTTTTGCTTTAATGATACATGAAAAATATTTACAGCATTGTAGGCATTTGAGCAGGAGAGTGATGTGATGAGGTATGGCTCAGTTTTAGCAAACTACCTGACTGCTGTGCTGAGAATAGGCCAGGAGTTTGGGGAGCAGGTGTACTGTCAAATATATCAAGATGGAAGGTATTGCATCAATCCAGGTGAAAAGATGAAGGTTGCTCATACCAGACACTAGTAGAGGAGGGTCGAAGTGGTTAGGACTGTAAATAAATGAGATTGGTAGAGGATTAGTTAGGATTGATAGGTCCAACAGAATATACTGGTGTATTAGTTTGAGAAGTAAGAGGAGATAAAGGAGTAGATTTAGAGAGGAAATAAAGAGGACTCTAAAGTTTTTGGTTCCGGCAACTAGAAGTTGAATTGGTATTAACCCAAGGGAATGCTGTCATTCCACCCAAAGAAAGGTGGCCTTTTATTGTCAATCTTATGTTTTTTATTAACTGTGTGAGTTCTCACTTTTTATTAGCTTGATGATGTTCCTATGTTGTGTTTCGTTTTGTTTTTCCATTTAAGTAATCCACCCGCCTCGGCTTCCCAGAGTGTTAGGATTACAGGTGTGTCTTCCTCTGCATCTGTCCCTCCTGCCTAACTCTTGACAACTACTAATCTTTTAACTATCTCCGCCGTTTTGTCTTTTCCAGAATTTTATATAGTTGGAATTATATAGTATGTAGTTTTTCACATTGGCGTTTTTCACTTAGTAATATGCATGTAAGTTTTCTCCGTATCATTTTATGGCTGATGGCACATTTCTTTGTAGCAATGAATAATATTCCATTGTCTGGGTGTATGGCAGTTAGTCCATTCACCTATTGAAGGACATGCATGGTAGGTTCTAAATTTTGGCAGTGATGAATAAAGGTGCTAAACACGTGTCCAGGTTTTTATGTGGATGTGTGATAAGTAATAATAAATTACTCTGGATTCCTACCTGTTATGCAGGAGACTCAGTTTCAGTTCTTTTTTTTTTTTTTTTTTGACAGAGTCTCAAGCTGTCACCCTGGAGTGCCATGGCATCATGACAGCTCACAGCAACCTCAAACTCCTGGGCTCAAGCAAGTCTCCTGCCTCAGCCTCCCACGTAGCTGGGACCACAGGCGCCTGCCACAACACCCGGCTATTTTTTGGTTGCAGCCATCATTGTTGTTTTGGCGGGCCTGGGCTGGATTTGAACCTGCCACCTTAGGTGTATGTGGCTGGTGCTAGCCACTTGAGCCACAGATGCCAAGCCTCAGTTTCAGTTCTTCAGGCTCCTCTTCTGTCCTTGCATGCCGTGTTAAAATTCCAAGTTCCTGGGGTTTCATCATCCAATTAAAAGTGTTAGCATACTCTCAGCTCAGTCCTCCAGATTCTCTTTCATTTTCTGGCACTTGAGGCTTTTCTTGCCTATTGCTTTTTTGAGGTTAGCTTGGTATGTTTGGGGGAGGAAGCACATTTTAAAAATTTTATCCATTATATCTAGGTAGTTGAAGCAACAGGACTCTTTTTTTTTAGGTCACCCTTGGTAGGGAGCTATGGCATCACAGCTCACAGCAACCTCCAACTCTTGGGCTTAAGTGATTCTCTTGCCTCAGCCTCCCGAATAGCTAGGACTACAGGTACCTGCCACAACACCCACGTATTTTTTTGTTGTGGTTATTGTTTAGCTGGCCCAGGCTAGGTTCGAACCTACCAGCCTGGGTATATGTGGCTGGCACCTACCCACTGAGCTATGGGCAACTCCCTGTTTCTTTGTTTTCTTTTTTTTTTTTTTTTTGGAGACAGAGTCTCACTATGTCGCCCGAGGTAGAGTGATGTGGAGTCACAGCTCATAGCAACCTCACTTGGACTTAAGCTATTCTCTTGCCTCAGTGTCCCAAGTAGTTGGGACTACAGACACCAGCCACAACGCCTGGGTATTTTTGTTGTTGTTGCCATTGTTGTTTAGCAGGCCCCTGCTGGGTTCGAACCTGCAGCACCAGTATGTGGCTGACACCCTAACCACTGAGCTACAGGCACCAAGCCAAAGCAACAGGACTCTTATCTTTACATACTTTCTGAATGGTTTGACCCCACCTATAAACCTTTCACTCTTCAATTGGAAATTTTTTGTATATCTGTAGGCCTATTGGTAAAACAGCCTTCAAAAATATTATATTATTTTGGTTTTGGTACATAATTGAAGGAAATGCATTGCTTTACCGTCTATAGAGCATCACTTCTCTTTTGAATATCTATATACTTATATAAAGCTTTCAGAATTGGATTCAGTATGTTTTGAGCTTAGAATATATCAATAAATCTTTTTAAAGTGACATTCTTAATAGTATGTTCACTCGCCATTTGTTTCTTTCCACGTTAGAATGTTAAATGTTTCCAAAAAAGGATTTCAGCTGAGAATTTGTGTTGGTCAAGTTCACTTAAAGTTTCAATACAGGCTACTGTAAATTTTGTTTTACGTTTTTGTTAAGAGATAACCCTGTTTTTTTTTTTTTTTTTTTTTTTTTTGAGACAGAGCCTCACGCTGTCCCCCTGGGTAGAGTGCCGTGGCATTACAGCTCACAGCAACCTCCAACTCC